TGGATAGGATAGGAGTTCGATGACGATAAGTCCAGATTTCATTGTTTCGAGGAGACACATAGGACGCAGGAGGAGTGGCGAGCAAGTGCCTGTGGACATATGAGCTATGACTGGTTTAGGGAATAGAAAATTTAGGGTTGAACCATTGAAGTTGGATGTTGACACCACATGCCATCGGTATGTTGCGGAGAGCTGGAGAGAATCCACTGCACAGTTGCATCATGATTCGTGTTGTTAGGCTCACTTCAACTATATGCATGTGTGTTGCTCAGCTCACCAATCCTATATGGATTTTAGTCAAATCATCTTAGGCCCCGCTTATGAAGTCACTCCCATCTCCTTCTCTACTTCACGTGCATGCATGACAGGATTAGGACACATGCATTGCGTCTCCTCTTTCACCTAACGAATTCTTTCTTTTATTTCACCTTTACAAATTTAAATCACTGATATCTTTTAAATCAGTTTTTATTTTTATTTTATATATGAACTCATGGCGGTAAGACCTTACAACAAGACCAATATTTTATCCATTTTAAACATGCTTAAGTATCAATACTTTAATCCACTTAATTCACGCAGTCTATTTCATTGTGTGAAACTGACTACAACGAGACCAATGAGTGAAATATATTTTTGATTCTAATGAAATCATTTTTAAGTAAGAATCTGCTTTAGACAAGGAATGGTTTTCGTTTTACTGAGATCAGTTTTCTTTTGTAAGAGTGAATTCTTTACATGAGTGGAATAAGTTTTTTTGAAAATGAGTAAAATTTTCTATCTGAAATGAGTGAACTAAGTTTTTGAAATGAATGAAATTATGTTTTAGAAATGAGTGAAATCAAGTTTTTGAAGTGACTGAAATTAGTGTATTGAGCATATTAAAAAAATTACTTTGGATTTCTCGAAATGAGTGAAACCAATTCTTTTGGAATAAGTGAAACTGTTATTATTTTTAGTTGAGGGAAATCAATGTTTGAATTAAGTGAAATCAATAATATTGAATAGGTTGAAATCCGTTTTTTAGATGAGTTAAATGTGTCGTTTTAAATGAGTGAAATCTATCTTTTAAAAAGGAATATTTTTTAATTGAGTGAAACAAATGTTCCGGTTTATATTGACCGGGTACATATTGCAAAACGGATATATACATCCTTTCCCCATGGGTATTTGGTGCAGCCGTTTCCGGTTTATACTTTAAACTGATAAAAGTTGAAAAGTTATGAAAAATATAGGATTAATTTTTAATAAAAATTTATATATGGTATCAACAACGGGACGACTGTAACAAATCGTCGCAAAAAAAGAACATAGACGGCGGTGTTTATGTGCACTATCTAGTTTGCAAAAATAAAATAGCAGGAAATATATTTCCATCTATCTTTTTTTTTTTGAAACAATGCAAAAAATTGTCATTTTCATTCATTAAGAAGGAGGGTTTATACTATTTCTCGTGAAGACAATTGTGAAGACAATTGTCGTTGTAACCAGCGGCGGAGGTAGAGGGTGGATAGGGTGGGCCACGACCCACCTTAAGATTGGGAACTGGGCTTTATACCATAGCAAAAAAGGCTTTTTTAAAGAAAATCTAAATTTACATGCACAGTTGCAATGTTGCCCCACCCTGACCTAGTGGGCTAGGTCCGCTACTGGTTGTAACAGTGGAGTTACAGATGACCCTAGCATTCTACTCTTTCCAAATCTCTCAAGACACGAGCATGTACAACGAGGAAAGGGCTTTTGTCTGGTTTCCATGATCAATCAAAAATTTTAGTCCATCAATCTAGAGCCGAAGCCTCAATTTGCCGGCTTCTCACCAGATAGCATGTAGGCCAATCCACACAGCAACCTCGGTCCAGACCCGCTAGGAGAACCAACACTAGAAGAGAATGTGTGCCGTAGTCTCCTGCACTTTCTTGCAAAGCAAGCAAAAGGTTACAGTTCTGCCACCCACGGCGTTGCAAATGATTAGCCGTCCAGTTTGTTCTGAATTATCAACCAAGCAAATTTTTCACATTTTGGTCGGGCCGACCCCTCCAAACAACAACAAATATGATGCTCTTCGTGTGGCCCGCAAACTGTGCCTTATAGGCAGTAGACGCAGAGTATTCTCCATGGGAGGTGAACTTCCAAAGTATGATATTTGACACCGCGTTATCAGAGGAGAGCTTCTGCTAAAGCATGGCAAACTCATGTATATGCTACATTATTTTTCCAAGGTGGGTGTGAATCTCGTTAACCCAATAATTGTTGAGAAGAACTTTCTAGACGTGTAATTTTTTTTTCTGATAAGTCAAAAATCCCTGGAGCAATATCTTTGGGTCTAATGCTATCCAACCTAGATGATTCATAGTACTTTGCTTTGCAATCATCCACAAGGTGAAACATGGTTGTCGCTGCGAAGATGTCACTATCATAGCCATTACACGGCGTTCCCATTCCTGACCAAGTCTTGGGGGGATTGTCCAAGTCATACCACAACCATCACAGCGAGCAATAGCAAACTTCTCGAGATTGAGTACACCAAACCTCCGAAGATCTTGGGCTTGCAGACTAGCTTCCAATTGACCTTGCACTTGCCATATCAATGATACAAAACATGTTTTACAGCATTCAAGACCCCCCCCCCCCTTCAACAAATAGCTAGCGTAGTTCCATGCAATACAATGAGGAAAGTCTGGCCTATACCGTCGAAAAGGTAGATTTTGAAATCAGGGAAAGAATGGTGACAATACCTACCCTCCATCGAGGTGCATGGCATGATTATCATCATTATTTGGAGAATATGGAACCTTTGAAATGATCCGTCCACGACAAGAGTATTCCACCAACGGATGCAAGGAAAAAATTATCGCGCAACTACATGAGTTCCCTACGATATGTGAAAATTTCAAACATTAAACAATTTATTAAAGGCAAGACTCATTTGGATCATTTCCGGGGTTCGAACGTCGAAGTGCAGCATCCCCTCGAATCACCATGGATGCCACCCCCACCGGACTAGCTAGCCCTCTCAGTACACGGTTCTTTCTCTCTGGGTGATGGTTTGGCAGGGGCCATAATGATTCTGAAGGACAATGCAGAAGAAGCCATCTTTGCTTCATGCCATCTTCTGTTCTTTTGCAACGACGCACTGGAAGCAGGGATCCATGGTATTTTGAAGGGCATGTCTCTGGCCCTTCACTCCAGTGTTCTATTCTAGTAATCTCCCTGTTCCCATGCAGTCAGACTCGGTGGGAGCATTATCCTCACTAACTTGTGATTTACTCTCTAAATCGTTGTACAATTACCCCATCAATGAAATCAAGCTACTCATGGTGAAGTGGGAGTTAATAGGGGTTCACACTATCTTGCTGATTATGCTCATACGTTCTCGTGCAATCCTCCTTTTATTGACGTAATAATCTTGTATTAGCAGACATTAACCTGTTGCTATGTACTTCCTTAGTTCCAAAATATATGTCTTTTTAGAAATATCAATAAAAACTAAATACGGATGTATAGTAGCCCTTATTGAAACCTCTAAAAAAATTAAATTTAGGAACACATGGAATAATAATAATAAAACTCTCTATTTACCTTGCAAAAAATAGCTAGGATAAGAATTGTGGTGCCTATCCTCAATAGACGAGCTGGGCGGAGACGTGTCCAACGTGGCCGTCTCTCTTTCTAGGAAGGCACGATGTACATTCGTGCATGCATCGTACTACACGAGCTAGCGGGGTTCCCATCGATCATCCTGCCGGCCGGAGACAAAACACTGTTCCAAGTCTTCCGACGACCGGAGCGACCCTCGGCGCTTCAACACGGCAGCGACTCGGTCGGTCAAGGAGAGAGTAGTCTACACACCCTCCCTGTTCCGACCGGTCGCCGGGTGCTCCACGCTTCTACGCACCCAGCAAGTAGCAGCAGCAGCAGTGAACAACGGTGTCGTACTCGTACGTGACATCCTCGCGTTCGCCTGCCCGACTCTAACCGGGTCCAAGCCGTCTGCTTTAGATGCCGATGTAAGAATGATCGTGCAAGCTATAGGCTACAAGATGTTGCAGCGATAAAAAGATTAGTTAAAGGCGATGGACAAGGAGGAGATGGAGGCGGCAGAGAACGAGGCGGGGGCTGCCTACGCGGCGGCGAAGACACCTTGAGCGTGGAAACTCGAATTGCCGATCTCGCAAGGCAGAAAATCTGTCTTTATAATGAATTTTAAATTGTCATTTACCATTTATTAGCTAACATATACCAAACAACATTGGACGACCGGCTCACGCATTAATGTCTGCGGACTGGTCCTTCATGTTTGCGGACGGATGCCAGAGCCAATTTCCGTGTCGAAGATGCCCTTACTAGATTGCGCTCCCATTCATGAGATCGAAGGATCGACTGCCTCTTCACTTATTCTTTTGGCCAGCGAGCGCGTACAATAAAAATGGCGGGAGGGATACAACGGAGAGTTCATGTCTTGTAAGACAACGAGTGAACAGGGCCGTGCCCGTGACTCTCGGCAGCTTGCTGAAAATCCGGTTCAGCGACTGGAACGTGGGCGTGCACGGAGGGAAAAGAAAATCGAAGAGGAACATGGGCAGACGGGAAGCTAACGTTCTCTCTAGGATCTTTAGCGAAAGTCGGTGGTTCGGAAGTTAGCTTTTCTGTTAATTAATACTAGTACTATTAATTAAATCTTAACTAAAAGAAAACTATAGCCATGCGTCTTTTTTAACACAGTATAATCGTGCATGCTCACATACACGTATTTTGACGTATCTCTACAAAGAGACTGTCGTTTGCATGTCCCTTGTCTTAAAATTCTTGTTTTAATTTAATCTAAAACGTGACTTAATACATCCGTATTTAGATAAATTTAAGACAAGAATTTTTGGAGAAGGAGTACAAAAACTTAATGCAGCTAAAACATCATTCAAATTGACCGAACATCATTCCCGCAAAACATTGCATACTGGACGTAACAAGGAAATTAATCAAGAATTACAAATTTGGACAAATCAATTAACTTGATCCTTGGAATGTCGTAGCAGCGCGGTCGAGGACGACTCGGAAGAAACAGTGGTGTTGCCGGTGCTGACCGAAGAAGAGCGAACACAACCGGAGCCTGAGCTGTCAACGGAGAAAGACCCGTACGACGCAAGATCCTGTGCAGCCCTGTACATGTGCCGTGGGAGCGTCGGCAACCTCGCCTCGTCGGACTGCAGGACGTGCATGGCCTGCGCCATGGATGGCCGCTCGCTCCGGTCCGGGTGCGCGCACCAGAGCCCAACGACAAGTACTCGCTCCATCCACCGCTCGTCCGCCTCATCGCCCCTCAGCCGCTCATCCGCCGCATCAAGGATCACGTCCCTTCCGTAAAGGTTCCACACCCAGCTGAGCAGCGTGAAGGAAGTCTCAACAGTCTCGATCACCGGCCGGCGGCCGGAGACGATCTCCAGGAGGACGACACCGAAGCTGTACACGTCGGACTCGGTGCACGGTCGGCGCGTGTTGACAAACTCCGGGTCGATGTACCCGACAGTGCCGAGCACAGCCTTAGTGGTATGCACTGACCGAGCGCCATGGTCGATGAGGCGGGCCAACCCGAAGTCCCCGAGCTTGGTGCTGAGCGACGAGTCGAGCATGATGTTGCTCGGCTTGATGTCACCATGGAGGATGCACTGCTCCCACTCTCCGTGGAGGTAGCGTAACGCAGATCCCAAGCCAAGGATGATGTTGTACCTCTGTGGCCATGTCAGATAGCTGTCATCGTTGTTGTAGAGGTGCCTGTCTAGGCTGCCCTCCGCAACAAGCTCGTAGACAAGCAGGAGCCCCTTGCGGCTGTCGCACCAACCCAGCAGTTGTACAAGGTTGCGATGCTTCAGTCTGCTTATGATCCTCACCTCTGCCTCGAACTCCTTCCTCCCCTGGGACGACGACTCTGCCGACAGCACCTTCACCGCCACAGCACGACGGTCCTGGTCACCACCGACCGCGGCTGCGTGCGTGAGTGTGAGATGACCTCGGTAAACGCTCCCGAAGCCGCCTCGCCCGAGTTTCTCCTCCTCCGCGAAGTTGCTCGTTGCGGCGACGAGCTCGTGGTACATGTACCGCCTGGGGCCGCCGGCAGCCACACCTCTCTCAAGGCCAGCTCTGTCGGCACTCGGTTCTTCGGAGTCGCTACTACTATACTCATTTGTTCTTCTTTTCTTTTGTCGCCGCCATCCCAGTACCACCGCCGCACAGACCAACAAAAGAAGCAGAGGAATTAGGCTGGAAAGTAGGATTGGTACCAACTTTTTGTGCTTGTTGCTGCTGCTGGCTGGAATTGGAAGAGGAGGTGCTTCCTTCTTTGATTCAAGCTGCAGAGTGGAATTGAATGACCATGAGAGTATCTGGTGCAGCTCGGCGTACATGCCAGTCGCCGCAGAGAAGCCAATGGCGACCTCCTCCGGTAAATATCTACTCAGATCAACGGTTGCATTCACTTGGTACAGGGCATCGCCGATGACGAGGTCGACGGCCAACATCTTGGAGTCATTGTGGTACCTGACAGTGGCGGTTTTCATAACATTGGGCGACGTGAGGTTCTTTCCCGGCCAGGTCGTCGTGTCCGTGGACGCCGTGGAGTTGAGGGAGTTGATGTCGATGCCTATATGGTTCCCGTTGATGTCGGTGTAGTACGATGAGCCACCAAGAGTGTTGGGGTAAGTGTCGAACTCCACGGCCACGATCCGGGTGTCGCCTGTCCCGTTAGTGCTGGCCGAGGCTGCCGCCGTCGCTTTCCCGCGGGATCACCGAAGGGAAATGCCCGAGGAAGAAGGCCATCCCATCGCCTGTATACGGCAGGCTGAGGTTGTCCGGAGTTATACGGAAGGAGAAGGTGGTGGTGAAGCTAGCCATCTCGCCGGTGGCGTTGCTCCACAGCGGCACCTTTTGCGCGTACGATGCCCGGCCGACGCTGTACTGAATATTTGACATACGTGTATTTTTTGTGAGCTCGAGCGTTGATGGAGTTGGGAATGCATCGCCGGTGAAGGCGATCGATGAAGCGGCGCTGGGGTCGGAGAAGTTGAGGTTGAAGGAGAGCGAGAAGGCCCAGCGCGGCCCATGGTAGAGGTATAGCAACACCAGGAAGACTAGCGAGGTAGGACGACGGCGAGACGCCATCGAGCGCTGTGTTTGGTGTTTGGTATTTGGTAAGGAGGAAGCGTGCGTGAGCACCATAAAATAGGGCCGGGGAGAGATCTGTAAGCTGTTCGACATTTCACACCAGCAGACCCGCCACCGGTCGACTCCACGAGTCCCCGTAAGGCCCCGCTTGGAAGAATGGGAGCCGCGTGAGTTTTCAGACAAGTGAGGAAATTTTGAGCGACGCCATTCTTATGTACTGCTTTTACATAAATCTTACGCACATAGTTCAAATCTTGGTATTCGGCTTGGACATTGGCACACCTTCATCAAGGGGATAGAAGTAGTGACAGATGTTGCCAATATGATGTCTTTGGGCTTACTGATGTAGGAGTATTACTTTGTAAGATCTTTATGAATAATTAATAAAATGACTGCATGCATGCCCAATGGCAAAGGCTAGAGGTATATACTCCTTTTTTTTTAAACGCGGTTCAAATAGCCGGCGGCTATTCCCTTATTTTTCCTCTTGTTATCTCTCTCACTTACTATGTAAGTTTTACGAAGAAGCTGTGCGTAGGAATACAATTTTTGGGAAATTTTTAACAGAATACAGTGTCAAATTTTGAAGTAAGTACACAAGTTTGAGGGATCTACTAGATGACACTTAATCACTCAAAACGTAACCCAAAGTTCTCCCACAAAAATAACTTTTGAAAGACCTTCTAGAGTTGCTCTAACGCAAGAAACCACCCAGAATGTGCAGAGTAGAACGATCAATCAAGCGCATCTTTTAGAAGACGACGTGTCTTACTCTGGACCCGTAAGTTACGTCCGACTGGGTCCGGAAACGCCGAACCAGTCGAGGCTAAGTGTGGAATTATTGCGAGTCGTGCGGCCAGGAACGGTCAAAGTAATTTGGACCTATATAAAGAGAATGGGACGACTTGACCGAAGCTGCTCAGTTGGGATCGTGGGCTGTCGGGGACGCACCGCGACGACATGCTTTCATGCGGTACGCGTCAAAAAGAACTGGCCCCAGGACGTGACAGTTTTTCTTCAAAAAATGATAAAGGCTGAAGTATTAGTATATTAATAGAATCAGCCCCCTTACCCACACACACTAATAGAATGCCCGTGCGTTGTCACGGGCTTTTGAAATATTTTTCTGAAGTTATATATATGCATGTTGAAATTCACATGCATAGAAAAGATAGGCAGTAATAATTAAAATCCACTCCACTTGCAATGTTGATAAAATATGTAACTTGACGATATATATATAGACAACAATGATCCAATTAATATTTTGTTATGAATTAAGATCTACTTGATGAGCTTATGATATTCCCGCACAATATGATCAATGTTCTCTTTAGCTTCAGTGACACAATATTTAAGAAGTATTATAAAAATGTTTTCTTCAAGTCATAACTATCTTGCACAAGCTATTTTTGTAGCTATTATGAATATTTCACATGGAAGATCTAAATATGTGCAACGAAGAATACTCACTGTGCAAACCTTTTGAACCAATTCTTTACCGTTACACGAGAGCATAAAAAATAGCTAAACACATCAGTGCAATTGAATAATTTAATATTATCTTCAATATAGTGATAATAAAATATTTGCTTGTATCTTGAATGTTATGATAATGAAATATATAAATTTACACATCCGTGCTCCCTGGAATACCAGCCGAAAATATGCATTGCCATCTAGATATATCGGAATTCCAGCCGGGTTGCGCTATTTCAAGTGAGTTGTTGAATTCCCTAGCAAATATTTGTAATTTCACTAAATTCCTCAGAATTTTAATCTCTGGCGAGTGTGTTGTATGGAGAGGGTCTAGCATATATACACGACATGCATGTTTTTCTATGATGTACGAGATATAATGGCTGATGAATACCTATGTAAGATATATCTACAAGCAGTAGCTATTAAAACCCATAAATCATGATAACAATGGATTAGATACATTAGTTAGCAAGTTGCACGATGACATGCTATAGTCTACTCCAGGTAAGCTATCAAACAGTGTTGCTAACATCTGAATATTTGGCTTCACCCAGAACATTAGATCTCTTGTTGAGACATTTTAAATGTGTCGCAAATTATACAAGTTTTATAGATTCAAAAGATACTTTTATATGCTATTTGACATTATTATTTTAATATTTTTAACAAGAAATAATTGATTATTCTATTAGTAATCTTCCCTTCACTACTCTAGCATGGACATTAGTTAGAAGGTTCATATAAATATGTTGCTACAGAATAATAAACCAATGTAATGATTAATCACAAAATTTCACATATGTTATACTCCATCCTCATATACTAAGAGTATACAAGGTGTAATCTTTCTCAATGTTCATCCGGTCATCGGATTCTCTGAAGCCACCATGTAATCATCACATTGTCATGTGGATAACTTTTACTATTCCGATACAATTCTGCCATGCATCCTAGCTAGCACCTCAGCCACCATTTGACAGATTTTCCCAGCCCTCGTCTCATTTGGCTACATCATTGTTCTGTTATTTGCTCACTCCAAATCTTTTCTTCATCAGGTCCACGTCATTTCCTAATCCGCTAAATTTCTACCATGGCACCTCCTCCATATCCTCTTCCATTCCCGCTTGTTGACTCATCTCGCTCTGAGCTTGTTGTGTCTTTGCTATCTTCTGCCTTCCCCATCACTTCACCATCATATGCACACTTTCTCCTATTCCACCTATCAGTTATGCCCATGCCTACCCCACCATTGATGTGTCATCCACCTAATTCGGCATCATCCCAAGTTGCATCACTCATCCTTACATCATAATCATGCGTACAAGAATATTCTAAATTTTACTATGAGATGCAACACTACGCAACAAACACATAATTGTTTTTATATTTTCCTAAAGTAAGTTTCCAATGACACTTGCCGGAATGAGCAGGAAGACAGAGTGCAAACTTACATATAGCATGAAAGTGACTCCTACCTCATCACAATTTCGGGTAGTCACTAACCCCTTTCATCCATTTTAAATAGATCAACAAAAGCTCACTTCCTTCAGTCTCTGCCAAAGTTCACTAACATGTTGTCTTGAAGTGTCCCAAAACGGTAGATGGTCTAGAAGTACAAATAATCAAGTTCTGAAAGAAATAATGTATTTTACATAAACTAATAGGGTAGCGGCAGCTAAACTATGTCGAGGGAACGTGAAGATGTAAACCTGCCTGCATAGATGAGATGTCAGTGCCTGATGATGGCACATATCATTAATTAGGAGTATTACATTGACCCATTCCATTAGCACTGACATGTACTCCCTCTGTAAAGAAATATAAGAGCGTTTAGATCACTACTTTAGTGATCGAAACACTCATATATTTCTTTACAAAAGGAGCGTCAAATAATTATTTGAGTGCATATACCTGATCTTTGTAAACCTTTTGTTGTGGTGCGATCAGAGTGCCACCAGGGCAACCCTAAGATGACTGATGTAGCTATGACCTGGGTGATTCTCAACCAAGTCAAATAATCACGTCCTCTGTCCTTGAGATCTCTACAGAAGAGGATAGAATATTGTTGCCAGCAGCTTGTGCCCCATTCTTGCCTCAAAGATGTTACTCGTGCCTTCATACACTAGTAGAAAAAAGCCCATTAGTCCCCGTTTCAGAGGGCCTTTAGTCTCGGTTCTGGAACCAAGCCCCCCCCCCCTTTAGTCCTGACTCTGTTACGAATCGGGACTAAAGGCCCTTCATGTGGCCGCTATCTGGAGCTCCACCTTTAGTACCCTTAGGAGTTTTGAATGACCGGCCGAGGAATAGAACCATCTCTAATCACCCCTCATCATTCCAAATCATCTAACTTCCTGGCCGGTCACCCATCCTCTCACTACTCTAGCCTGAGCACGCTTAACTTCCGGTTTCTATTCCCTCTCGTTTCCAAGTCTGCACTTGTTGTTTTCCTGACAATAGTAACCTTTAGTACCCTTAGGAGTTTTGAATGACCGGCCAAGGAATAGAACCATCTCTAATCACCCCTCATCATTCCAAATCATCTAATTTTCCGGCCGGTCACCCATCCTCTCACTACTCCAGCCTGAGCACGCTTAACTTCCGGGTTCTATTCCTCCTCGTTTACAAGTCTGCACTTGTTGTTTTCCTGACAATAGTAAGATGTCAATCCTATTAACCCTCAGGAGTTTAGCTTGAGCATGAAGTCACACGTTTCACTGTTTGAGTTTGAAACTATTATTCTAAAAAACAATAATTATTTAGTAACACTAATATTTCTTGAATAAGTAGTTTGACCATTGTTTGACCAGATTTGACCAAAATTCAAAAAAATGAAATAATTATTTAGTAACACTAATATTCTTGAATAATTATTTAGTAACAATAATTATTTAGTAACTCAAATTTTAGTTTTTCT